CCGTTAACTAAAGCTTTAACGTACAACGGTCTCAAGTGTTTAGTCAATTTCATGGCTGGCCGCTTAAAAATAACCTTTTCGGCAGCCTCTATTTCTACTTCCTGCTTGTCCTCCGTCGAGTTATCCTTTTGTGATAAGTCAACGTGCAGCATATCGCACTGAGCCTCTATCTCCTGAATTTCCTTTTACTATTTTCTAATGCTTCATCTTCCGTTACCCAACCTGTGGGAGGGGGCATTATTCTTGGAGGTGATCCATACTTTTTAGATCGAGGCACTCTCTTCTACCTTTTGAACGTCCCGTACAGCACGTAAAAATCGAAAGAACACCCAGATGGTTCTCCCAATAAGTCTACTTCACGAATTCCTTCTCGATGTAGTTGTTTCAACAAAGTATTATACGATACTCCTCTTCTTCTTCTTTTTGCTTCGAGGTTGATTTCCTCTTCAATGTCTGTCATACCATCATTTTCCTCACCATTGTAGGCCTTTCCAGAAGTCTGGCCTTCTTCATATTTCAGCATGCATGCTTCTCCTTCGTTATCCTCTCTTTCTTCTGCTTCTCTCTCTTTATTCTTGAACTCATTGGCTAGTAAATAGTTATTAACCACGACAGGAGGTAACGTACTGAACTGAATAGTAAGGGGCTGATCTGGATCTTCTCCATCCCTTCTGTCTCGCTCAAACTTTGATCTCTCAGAAAAAGTCTCTGGCAACTCTTTCATTGATTCATCTGTACCAGTCTCCTCACTGTCTTTGAGAATATTTTGATTGGCCACCTCGAGTAGTTTAGGTGCCTTAGGACGTGGCATTCCCTGTTGTTGCCTCATCATTTGTCCATAATTTCGTTGGAAACACCTTTATTGGGTTCTAATCATCTCGTTGAAGGGTATCACCTTTCCTGCATTATACTAGAACGAATGTCATACATTTGGTTGGCGAGGTTGCGGCCTAAATGTTCTCCCATTATTTACTGACCTGAACTGCCTTTCAAAAGGCGGTCCCTTATAGAACGATGTACCTCGCCCTCTACCAAGTTGAGCGTTTGGGAAGAAAGTAGGGCGATGGGGATGCTGCCATATCCCTGGTCCCTCCATATTCCCACTCACTTCTCTTTTACATCTTGCACATAAGAAGTCTTCATCCTTTTTTGGCTCATTCCCTTTAATACGCTCAAAGACACTGGGATGTGGTCCAGGGTCTTCTTCTTCATCATCTATAACCAACTTGAATTTTGACAACTTGTTTTTGAAACCAGACGTCACCATATTCACTCCAAGTGGCTGTGGAAAAGGATTTTCATCTACTGTCATCTTCTTCTTATCATCGAACGTGATTCGTCCTAATTCAATGGCATCCTATAACACATGGCGAAAAACCAAGCAATTGTTAGTCAAATATGACCGTGCATTATGCCACTTACAATACTTTTTACCCTTAATTTGTTCAAGACTTGGCAATTTATATTTATCGCTCAGCTTTATCTGCTTATCCTTATATAATTTATCAAATATAAGGTCAGCTTTGGTTACATCGAACGAGGACGTTCTAACTTTTATGTTTTCATCTTTCATAAGTTCATCCTTGCCCGATGGTCTAGGCTTAGCCATTATAGGACAAGTATACGTGTCTCCTTTGACTAATTCGGCCAAACACATTTCGATCTGATCGCTCATTATTGATGGTATGAACATCAAAATTTGGATCTCTGTAATAAGTCCCCTTGCTAAAATTTTTTATTTGCTCTTCTTCTCTTATCAATCGTTCATACCTAATCACGTTCGCGCTCAATTGGAAAATGTCAGGAAATTCCTTGTCTTGGAATTTCTTTTTCAAATCAAAACTCAAACAACCTTGAGCGATTTTGACAAATTCTTTTTCGGGTAAAGGTACAAAACATTTACTTTTTGCTGTCTTGAAGCTTTGGAGGAAACCTTCTGTCCATTCGTTTGGCATTTGACGTAAATTCGCCAAATCGGCCAACGTAACTTCAGACTCGGTCTTATAAAACTGAGCGTGGAATAATTGTTCCAATTGTTGCCATGTTTGAACAGAGTTCGCTGGCAAATTGATGAACCAGAAGAAAACTACTCTTGTTAATGAACTAGGGAAAAGCCTCATTTTATGATAATCAGTTACGTCACCACTTTACAGTATGAATCGCCCTATGTGTTCTAGAGTAGACACCTCCCCTAAACCGGTAAACAATGAGAATTCTGGCACTTTATATCCTCTAGGCCATGAATATGCTTGGTCTACCCAATCAGGATATGACTTTGTGTAAGTCGGCCTAATGACAGGACATACCCCAAAAGCCATCTGGTCCTGTACGATTTCCATAATCTGATTCCTCAACATGACGTTGGGGTCATATGAAATCCCTACAGGTTGATTGACCGGTTGATTTGTTTGAGGCCTGATATTTGGTCCTTGATTAGAAATAAAGTTACAATGATTTGGGTCATTGTTACCATTAGCCTGAACATTTATTCCCTCATTAACATGTGATTCTGCCCGTTATTTAGGACATTATCTCTTATATTGGGATTACCCCCAAGTTAAGCGTACCACTACCATTATTCTGAGTTGGCATTACACCACCCCCTTGATTTGAAGTAGAGGGACCGAAATGTGGTTCTACCCCTTGACTTGTATTTAGGACTGGGAGATTATGTCCCACAATTGTCCTAATTTGAAAGTGGTTTGCAAGAGACATAAATGGTTGACAAATTTGGCCTACTAACTTATTCATTATTTCGTTCAAAGTATTCAATTGTTTGGCCATGTTGTCATAATGCGCATTCCCATTATGGGTAAATCTTTCCATATTATGAATATTTCGAAGATTTACCTGTTCAACGACATCTTGTGTGAGTTCTCCAAGTAGTGCACGCATAGTTCGAGAACTCAAATCTGCTATTGATTCGTAACGACTGTTACTACTCTGATTCTGTCTATCTGTTCGTGGAGAGCTATGCTGCTCCTCATATCGCTCGATCACAAATTGGATTCCTCCCTGACTTGCTGCTTCCTTATCGGATCTCTGAGGCATATTATTTCACCTTTTGTATCTTCAACACCAAACACCACTGTCCCACTGGGCGTGCCAAATTGTTTCGCGCGGGTTAGTTGCTAACAATTAAAAAGGGATCAGACAATTGTGTAAGGGACAAACATCTTGAGACAAAGTCCCAAAAATAGGTGTTTTTATTGGCGATGACTTTACAATTAGAAAATAAAAACAGAATGCCTCCAAGGGGCGCAAGCACACGAGTTATTGAAAAAAAGTGTTTAAATCTAAACTAAAAAATTTAAAGTTACATATTCTCTGTTTGAGAGTGTTTGATTCGGGTTTCTTTGCTCTATGTCTTTTCTTCCTTTTATACTCTTTGGATGATCTTTTCGTGATCAACTGCTTAAAAACTATTTAATCGCTCTATAACTGCCCACTTTCTTCGTAGTGGCCAACTTGTCATGGAATTACCTTCTCTAACTGCTGCCATTACTTTTGTCGTTCAACCGTCTTCAATTGAATTCCTTGAATCGTGGAACGTGATAGGACTACTTAATAACTGCTTCATTAACTGCACCTTTGGATAATCATAACATCTTATGTTTGCTAAAATTCTGGGCGACTCGAAGGTTTGGGCGAACAGGGTCACAGCTCTGGACGACTGCATGGCAATCCATTCACTCAAATCTTGGGTGACTTGTAACCTAGAGCGATGATATTACCGCGTTCATGGACTTCCCTATTTGGGCCTTTTTCCTGCATTGCCTTGATTGGGCCGTTCTTTGGGCTATCTGATTTGGGGGATCCTCCAATTCGACTTCATTCCTTGAGTTATTCGATTTGGGCTGAACTTTTTGTGTGTCAACACATACATACATACATACATACGTACATACGTACATACATACATACATAGATACATACATACATACATATGTATGTATGTATGTAGAATTTATATACATAATACATGCCACCCTCTCAAGTGCTAGAAGAATTTATTCATCATTTGTTTGATTGGAAAGAAGTAAAAGTAATCTGCAAGTTACAGTCTAAAAGGATAGAGCATGACGACAGCGTTATTTGAAGATAATTCACCATAAAGTGGGGTTATGAATATCTATTTCCTTTAATGAAATTCACGTACCATAAAATTCACCATAAAGTGGTGTTACGAATATCTATTTCCTTTAATGAAATTCACGTACCATAAAATTTAGATGAAATTTTTTCGTGACCTTAGTAAAACAGCGTGAGTCGATTTCAAATGATTTTTAAACATTCAAAACATAAACCAAAGTATTGATTGATTCACGGGGATCAAGATTTTCTATTTTATAGAGACAATTTCAGTGTAAATTAAAGAATTGACAATTTTTGCTTAAATCCATATTGTTGAATGACGTCTAATTCACAATAGGTGGTCCGCCTAATAAAAAAATCGTGCACCCTCCATTGTGAGGAAAGTATGCACGGAAGTGTATACACACAGCAAAACTCATAATTCAGCGTGTGGAATCAAGGAAGGTCCCACTCTAGTATGGGCATGTATATATCTTAGAAAAAGTGAAAAAGGCGGTGTCCGACTAATTTGACTTGATTGAAACTGCTGCTACTACGTATTCTTTAAAGTAGATAATTTCACCATAATGTAAAAAGGGGTTATGGATATCTCTTTTTTCTAATGAAAAATTCACATGCCTCGGAATTGGTCAATCCTTCAAAAATAGGTAACATAAAGATAATTCATATTCCAAAATCTGTGTCGAATAATCTACTCAAGAATAGTATAATTCTAGATTTTCGGCTACAACATTAATTAGTAATAAATAAATATTGCCTTAATTTCCATACTACTAGAATTCAATGAGCTGTTACACTGTTGAACCGTGCTAGAATAATTCTACATTGTTAGCCCCTCACTATCTGACACGTGTGTATACCCCACACCGAAACTTCTCGTTCTTTCTTCCCTATCTGTTTTCTTTTCTCCCGATTTTCTCTCTTTATTCTCCTCTCTCTATCCTATATTCTCTCTCTTTCGAGTTTTGCACCCAAAAAATAATTTTCATCGGAACATTCAACATGTGACAAGGAATCGAAATTTCACCTTGTCGATTAGATCGCATCAGAATTTTTGATTTAGGTGTTGTTTTGTTAGTTGATTAATCTAAACCTATGTTTTTAATACGATTTGATTAATTTTTTGTTTAGTTGTTGAATTTCATATGATTTTGATTAATTTAGGGAGGAGGAGCTATGGCTCCACCACCGGTGGATCGAAACGGAGGGGGATCGGCGGCCGGCGATATTACGAGATGTGTTCCGACGCCGTTTTTGACCAAAACCTACCAGCTGGTGAATGATAACACCATTGATGATATCATCTCCTGGAATGAAGAGGGATCTGCTTTTATCGTATCGAATCCTACGGAGTTTGCTAGAGATTTGCTTCCAAAGTATTTCAAACACAACAATTTCTCAAGCTTTGTTCGTCAACTCAACACTTACGTAAGCTTAATCGCCTCGAAGTTTTCAATAAAAGTCCATTCATAATTTGTATTGAAAAAATATATTTTTATTGATTGATCGTCTTTTTGGTAGGGATTTCGAAAGGTTGTACCTGATCGATGGGAATTCTCAAACGAATGTTTTCGGAGGGGCGAGAGAAAGCTTCTGTGTGATATTCAACGTCGGAAAATAGCGACCCCGTCATCAACCAGTGTGGCGCCACCTTCACCCTCGGTAACGGTGGCGGAGGCGGCGGCACAGCCGGTACCGTCTACGCCTCAGCCTCTAGTGGCATCCCTGACAGATTCAGGTGAAGAACAAGTCCTTTCATCGTCAAACTCCATCCAAGTTGTTTACGAAACGACCAGCAGCACGGCGGACCTGATTAGAGAAAATGAAAGGCTAAGGAAGGAGAACATGCAGCTAAACAAAGAGCTTGGCAAGATGAAGAGTCTGTGCAACAACGTTTGTGTTCTGATGTCGAATTACGCTACGAATTGCAATAGCCAGGAAAATGACGACCCTAGTAACAGCGATCAACTTATGGAGCGGCTGGATCTACAACCAATGAAAAGATTTTGCGAACAGTTGCAAGGAGTTGCCAACGCCTCCACCGCTAACGGCGACGGAGGGAACAGTATTAGATTAGAAGCAGAGGAAATGAACGCGAGATTATTCGGGGTGCCGATTTGTGTGAAGCGCGGGAGGAAAAGCGAAGGTTGTTCGGCGGAGCATGAGATAGAATTACAGCTGCAGCAACCAGGGATGGGCGTGAAATCTGAGCCGTTGGATAGACAGAATAGCGTAGGTGATCAGGAGATCTTGTGGTTGAAACGGTTTGATTCGCGAAATAAAAATGCGCGTAATTGATAAAGATCAGATAGACGGTGGATGATTCATTAGTAAACATTAACTAGACTAGACAGGTGCAGATGGGTCGGTACGAGGTGAGTCACGTGCTAAATGGGTCACGTGCGTCGACAATCTTTATGATAGGGCCTTTCTCAGGAAACTTCTTGAACTTTTTCAGTATTTTATAGATTTTCATTTAAAAAAAAGACCTTTATCCGGAGCTGTGTAGCGTGCTCATTTCTACCTTAATTAATAGGTATTTTATTGTAACGTGTGTATTATAGAATTAATTTGAACAATAGCCTTTTGTAAGTGCTGGTAGATACACGTCAATTTCAGGGAGCACCGAAGTGATACGTGTATTTGGACCTTTGTTTTTTTTTCTTATTCCATTATTATAATCTACTAGACAAATCGTTCGATCTATATAGAAGAATGACAATTGTTTTTATTGTTATGTAAAGCTTCGTAATTTGTATTTGTTAAAATGATGAGAAAGATCTTTTTTCATAAAAAGATATTTAATTTCATACAATTGAGAAATGACAAAATTTTGACCGCTATTGGTTGAGGAGTTAAGTTGCGATTAATGTGTTTTCTAATTCATAAAGTAGCTAGACCTGTCACTCATTAGGCATTTTTTTTTTTTGATATTCAGGTATCCCAACTTATATCAGACTAAATTCTAGACTTCCAAGACCCTTGCCCCTAGAACTTTAGAGGGGTAAATCGCAAGTTATGCCTCAACTGGATCACAGGTTCCTCCCATTGCCTGTACACTTCTGCGCACAAGAGACCCTCCTTCACAGTGATTGCTCCATACCAAATATTTGGCCGCAAGTTCTCATCAAGAATTGAACTCTCCACGCTGCCGCTGGAAGCAAGACAATGTTGATTTCCATGTAGAATGGGGTGAAGTACTGAGCCATTTTCATTGGATATGGGTAGAGATCTAAATATTCAGTCAAAATTTAATGGTGTTTCAACTAAAATATAAGGGTAATAAGCATTCGTTTGAATAGGTGTATCTTCGGAGATAAAGTTAAACTTTTATTGTCATGTGGTTCAAAATTTCTCTAATCGTTTGCTAATCACAGGTTATGTTATTTGGATAATTATGTTGGTCTATGTTGATTTTGAGCTTTGTAATTATTATTAGTTTACTTCTAAATAGAATTGTGAATGACATTGAAAAAAGTGGATGAAATACAATTTGTCATTTTCTATCTCAATTTACCTTTGATAAAGGATAATATCTGGAAAAAGGTTCATGGGTGGCGTCGAGGACTACTTTCGGGTCAAAAATATTTATATCAAATTTTTAATAGATTTAAATAAAAGTTAGTGAATGTGTAATCGAGAAGTTACTGTGCTAATGAAGTATGTGATTAAAATTAAATAGATTAAAATTCATTTTTGAATCAAAGTTTAATAGATTTTGATAAAAGTTAATGAATGTGTAATCGAGAAGCTACTATTCTCACGATATATGTGTCTAAAATTAAATAGATTAAAATTATAATTATAATCCTTGCCAAACAGGAGCTAAGTCTGTTTTGCAGTCTATTTGGACCTATTTCATGAGTCTTTTTTGTTCATACGCAGTGATTTACGCTCTTTCATTAGCATATTATGGTGGGGAGGAGATATAAAATGGGAAATTTTTATATTTTTTAATTGTCACTTTAATTTACATGAAAAACTATGATTTTCATATTTTTTCACAATATTTTTTTGAATAATCTCTCTATTTTTTTTTCTTTTTTTCTTTTTTGTAGTTTTATTTACTGGACTTCGATCATTTTCTTGTTTTCTTGACAAATTTTGAGCTTATTATTTTCTTAAAATATTCCTGCCTTTCCAGCTATTGTAACGACTTTGACCATCCATTATAGGCCCTGAAACCAAAAATTCTGCCTCCACCACTGCTCTCTAATAACGATAGCATCAAGCTCATGTATTTGTTGTTTATATTGTTTATTTATAATATCAAGGATAAACAAGTCTTTTTGCTCAACCCTAAAGAAATTTTTAACCGTCATCAGAAGTACTAATCAAAATAATAAGGTTGAGATTAAAATACGAAAAATAAAGTTTAAAAAACATAAAAATTAAAGATATTCAATATAATTATAGTATGGTGTAATTAACAAAAACCGTAATGCAAATATGTTTATTCA